AAGTTGCAGGCATTTGTTTTTCTACATTCTTAGGAGTGGATGTCCTCCCAGAGCTGCAAAAACCTGATAGGGATTAGGCTTGCATGCAAAAGGGCAAAGATGGGACCGACAACTTCCGTGAGCCCTTATATAGCACATCCATAGCTTTTTATATTCTCCAATTTGATCTGCCAGTTTTCAAGTCTGAAGATTTTGGGGGGCTCCATTTTGGGTAGAGAGGTATAAAGTGCTCCATATAGATTGCAGCCTATGGAATCTGGTGTCGAGTTTGAAAAGAAATACAGGATTAGAAATTAATATAAATTCTGCAACTTCCATAACTGAAAATGAAAAACAAGCTATTGTGATAGTTGATGGCAAGGTTTTTTTTAAAAAAGGGGTGTGTGGAGAAAGAGAACACTAGAATCAGTAGAACTCCAAATGTGATTAGCATAGCTGTGGTTTGAGCTCCATTCACAGCAATATCCTTGAGTGCACTTTCACTGGACCACTGCTAAATATTTTATTTGCTTGCAGAGGCACTTATCAAATTGCTGCTTCAAGAGCCAGCATTTACTTTTATGATTATTTATCTTGAATAATGGCTTCAAGGAAAATCCACTGTGAATATTTTGCATCCCTTAAGCGCACTGGAGAAACAATGAGAGTTTAAGGCTGAGAGATAATTCTGAATATGGAAACCAATATCCCACAGCATCAACCCTCTAAAGCAAATTACATTGTGCTTATGGAACCCTACATCCAGCCTATGGGAGGGGGTCTGTGAGGATCTGATCTATTTTGTGGTGAAGGTATTTTCACAAGTAGTATGCAAGAACATAAGAAGAGTCTATCTGGATCAGGCCAAGGGCCCATCTAGTCCGGCTCCCTGTATCTCGCAGTGGCCCCATCAGATGCCTCTGGGAGCACACGAAACAACTAGATACCTGACTCCTGATACCTCTCCCTTGCATCTGGCATTTGGAGGTACCTTTCTTCTAAGGCTGGAGATTGTACATCCCCATCATGTAACCTGCAATGGACATTTCCTCCAGAAATTTGCCCAAACCCCCCTTTAAAGGCATCTAGGCCAGATGCCATCACCACATCCTCTGGCAAGGAGTTCCACAGACTAACAATACGCTGGGCAAAGAAATATTTTCTTTTGTCTGTTCTCACTCTTCCTGCACTCAACTGGAGTGGATGTACTCATCCGCCAACTCAGTATCTTATGTTTTTAAATATTTCATGTTTTGTGTTAATAATTTCATTTTCTTCCCAAGAGAAAATCCAGAACTTACTGTAAAAAAACTTGCTTTTAAAAATACTGCTGGCCCCCCATGTGATAAGTTTAGTGGAGTGCACAGCATCCTTTCCCCCATAACAGCCCTCCAGCCCAGACGCAAAGAATAGAAATTGCAACAACTTCACAATTCAGTTGTACAGTTTGCTGATGATGATCCTCCACATAATCAATAGTATTTTGTGGTATTCCATTTTATAGGCATTCAGTAGGACCAAGCTCTCCATCATGGATTGTTGCCTTGTGGCGAAGGGGCTTGAGTAATTCAGAGAAGCTATGGGCTATGCTGTGCAGGGACACCCAAAATGGTCAGGTCATAGTGGAGAGTTCCGACTAAACGCAATCCACCTGGAGTAGGAATTGGCAAGCCACTCCAATATCTTTGCCAAGAATACCCCATGAACAGGAACAAAAGACTAAAAGATATGACGCTGGAAGATGGGCCCCTCAGGTCGGAAGGCGTCCAACATGCTACTGAGGAAGAGCGGAGGACAAGTACAAATAGCTCCAAAGCTAATGA